GGATTCTGTTTTTGTCTTACCTGATTTCTGGATCGCTCTTTTCCGGATTCGAACCCGGTCGCAGTGGTCAACGCCTCCTCTCTGTCTGCATCTGAAGTCTGCCGACGCACAGGATGAGCTGACTGGACCAACTGGTTGCGGCGGGAAAGCCCTCCACACGGAGGTAAGCGTTCGGCCGGCGAGCGCGAAAGGGAACGACGTCACACCGCCCCGAAGCGTTCGCTTGAAAAAACAAAATGCAGCCATACATACCTCCTGGGACGTATCTCGCGGTCTCCAGAAATGTCCGCAGGACCACGTTTTCAGAATGAGCCTGGGTTGGAAATAACATAATATGTTTGCAGATATTTGAGAAACGTGCTAAGTGAACATTCTTATCTGAAAAACATTATCTTTGAACATGTGCGTTACATGCCTGAACACTGTCTTTATTTTGGTCCCTTTATCCCGCCCACTGACAGGTTAGCCAATTATATTTCAGCACTCCGGGTTGCCTTGGTGGAAAACTGCGTTTATCATTTATTTAGACCAGGAAGGCTCTTAAAGCATGCACCCGTGGCTGAAATGTGACCTCAAAGTTCCACATGAGGTTATTAATTAGCAAATAACATAAATATTACAAACGTAAACATTAGGTGAGCAGGTTACTTCGTAACCCCGTGTCCTAACAACACGCTACATGACGAGATTTACAGTGATAAGCAATTTGGTTGTTTGCACCAGACGAAACACGACAGAAATTTAAATGCAGCCATTCAGAAGCACAGAATAGTGCACTCGCTGCACTCCAACACAATGGTAAGGTTTATAATCTAATGAATACATATTAAACCTCTTTAACGTTATAAAATGTAAATGCTAAATCACTGATATGTGTTTGTTTAGATCCATCAATGCAACGCCTAGTTCATCCACTGGGTGTCAAACTTACATACTGCACCTTTAATGTTCAAAAATGTACATGTGGAAATCAATACGGTTACATGAACTAAAGCTGTGATAATGATTGCGAATGGATGCAAAAGCTACTAGTATTCGATTAAAAATAAAGTGTAAAAACAATAGTGTGGAATTCAGTTTGAACGTTTTCAGTTTTCAGTGAATTCAGTTTACATTGTCATTTTTTAGGAATGCAAGTTTTTCCTGTGATGCATTATCAGTCACGTGATCCTTGCAGATTCGCTACTTCTATGAATGTTTATAAATGTAAATAATAAAAGAACAATTCTTATTATTGTCATCAGTGCATAAACATACTGATTTGCTGCTTAATAGCTATATACGCATTTATATTATAGGAAATACTGTCAAAAATCCCTGCTCTGTTAAACATCATTTGGGAAGTATTTAAAAATTCACAGGAGGGCGAATAATTTTGACTTTCCTTTTGTGTTTCTCTCTCCCTCAAGTTATCTTGACGTTTGGATGATGTTTTCCTCCTTCTCTCTTCCTCAGGTGTCGATGTTTTGTCACGGGGCGAGGGTCGGCTTTTACCAGGGTGATATTTCTCTGCTGATGGATGACATAAAGACCCTGAAGCCCACTTTTTTCCCTGGGGTCCCTCGATTACTCAACCGCATCTACGACAAGGTCTGTGCTACACATCAGTGTTTGACGGATTGAGTTGTTGGGTCTCTGTGTTAAAGTGATGGATGTCGTGAATCTGTGTGTAGATTCTGGGCTCGGTTACGTCTCCGCTGAAAAGAGTCCTCCTTCATTATGCCGTCAGGAGGAAACAGGCAGAACTGAGCAGTGGAGTCGTGAGGAACAACAGCCTGTGGGACAGACTCATCTTCAATAAGATACAGGTATAAGACTCGTAAGGTGTTTTTGGAAAAATAAAGATATATACAGTTGAATTTAGAATTATTAGCCCGCATGTGATTTATCTATTTATTTTTTAAATATTTCCAAAATGATGTTTAACAGAGCAAGGACATTTTCACAGTATTTCTGATAATATTTTTTCTTCTGGAAAAAGGCGTAGTTGTTTTATTTAGGCTAAAATAAAATAGTTTTAAATTTTTTTATGACCATTTTATTAAAGCTCTTAAAGAATATTTTTATTTGATTGTCTACAGAACCACTGTTATACAATAACTTGCCTATTTAAGCACAGGAAGTGCTAATTTGTGATAATAATACTTTATTAATAAAACAACTTTTAAAGTGATAATTAATTTTTACTTTTTAAAATGATTAATTTATTTATTTTGCATTCTTTTTTATTTTTATATATTATTTTTTTGATTATTTTATTATTAAAATATTGTATTATTGTATTAATTTATTTTGTATATATAATTGTTTGGATTCTTTTATTATTAAAATATTTTATTACTTTATTTTTGTATATAATGTTTTTTTCATTTTTATTTATTTTCTGTTTGAAATATTGTATTATTTAATCTCTTATTTTTATAAATTTATATATTATTTTAATAAATATTGTATTATTTTATTATTTATATATTAAAAAATATTCATTTTTAAATATTGTATTAATTAATCTATTATTTATTTTTTAATATTTATTTATGTATTTTCATTTATTCTATTATTTAAATATTTTATTATTTATTTATTTTTATTTTTCTAATATTTCCTAAATTATGCTTAACAGAGAAAGGCAATTTTCACAGTATTTCCAATAATATTTTTTCTTCTGAAGAAAGTCTTATTTGTTTTATTTCGGCTAGAATAAAAGCAGATTTAATTTAAAAAAAAAAACATTTTAAGGCCAAAATTATTAGCCCCCTTAAGCTATATTTGTTTTTGATATAGTCTACAGAAGAAACCATCGTTATACAATGACTTGCCTAAATACCCTAACCTGCCTAATTAATCTAATTAATGTCACTTTAAGCAGAATGCTAATATCTTGAAAAATATCTAGTCAAATATTATTTACTGTCATCATGGCAAAGATAAAAGAAATCCTAAACCCTGCAGAAACCCTGTAATAGAACCACTTTAGAGACTCTCCTCCTGTAAATTGTGTTTCTGAAAGAGGAAAAAGAGTTAATCTGGCTTCAAATTTGTGACAATGTTTGTGTGATGTAAAATACTGTCCATTCATTCATTCATTCATTCATTCATTCATTCATTTATTATTCATTATAGGCTAGTCTGGGTGGAAATCTGCGCTTCATCCTTACCGCATCTGCTCCAATCTCTCCTGCTGTGCTGTCCTTCCTCAGAGCCACCCTGGGCTGTCTGGTCAGAGTCTATACTTTTGCATTTACATTACATTTAGTCATTTATCAGATGCTTTTGGCTAAAGTGACTTAGAATTAAGGAGGGATTCAGCGATTCATCTAGAAGAGGTAATACCCACAGAAGGACTAATCATACAAAGGAACTGTTAGTGCTCAGAGAATTAAATGCTAGAGTAAAGGATTTATTTAGTTGTTTTTTATTTTTATTTATTTATTAGATTATTTTATTATTGAAATATTGTATTATTTCATTTATATTTAATATATTTTTATTATTTTATTATTAAAATATTTTATTATTATTTAATTTATTATTTTTTATTTATTTATTCCATTATTTAAATATTGAATTATTTAATTGTTTTTATCTATTTTGTATTCATGCTTTTTATTTACAAATTTTTGTGTTATTACTAAAATATTTGATTACTTTATTATTTATATATTACATTCTTATTTATTTATTTTATTATTAAGATATTTAATTATTTTATAAATTAATATTTTTTTCATTTTTTGTTTTTTTATTTTATTATTAAATTATTTGATTACTTTATTATTTATTTTTATATATACATTTTTTATTTAATATTTATTCTTATATATTTTTAGTTTTTTATTTTATTATTTCAATATTTTTTTAATAAATTATAAATAAAAATATTATTTAAATATTTAATTATTATTTTTTTATTTAATTTATTATTTTAATAAAGTTTTTTATTACTGAAAAATTGTATTATATTATTTTATTTGGTATTTATTTTGATTTATTTAAATTTTATGATTTAATTATTAGATTTTTCATTATTTTTTATCTATATATTACATTATTATTTTTTATCAAAATATTTATAATTATATTATAAAATATATTATATTATATTAAATATATTATTTATTTTTATTAGTTTATTTATTTCAATAGTGCATTAACATACTTAACATGTTGACTTAAAATGTTCATGTGAATCTGTGATGTTTTCTCCAGTTGTATTGACAGGGTTTTTTGAATATGGTTTCAGATTTTTGAGGGTTATGGGCAGACAGAGTGCACAGCCGGATGTACCTTCTCTATGCCTGGTGACTGGAGTGCAGGTTTGTGTTAATGCTTCCACATACAGCTACACAAAATTATTAGAACAAAATTATTTTATTTATCTATTTATTTTTTAATATTTCCAAAATAATGTGTAACAGATTTAGGAAATTTTCACAGTATTTCTCATAATATTTTTTTATTCTGGAGAAAGTCTTATTTGTTTTATTTTGGCTAGAATAAAAGCAGTTTGGAATATTTTTTAACCATTTTAAGGTCAACATTATTAGCCCCCTTAAGCTATGTTTTTGTTTTTAGTTGTCTACAGATCAAATCATCATTATACAATGATTTGGCTAATTACCCCAACTTGCCTAATAACCCTAATGAGTCCTATGTTTCAGGTCATGTTGGTGCTCCATTACCCTGCGCTATGGTGAAGCTAACTGATATTCCTGACATGAACTACTATGCCAAGAACGGAGAAGGAGAGGTCAGTATTTGAACACAAGTGTTTCTGGGACTGTATATATCAGCTCTGGCGGGTCTGTCTTAACCGCCAGAGCTGAAATCTACCCGCATTTGGCGGGTCAGCGGGTGTTAATGTAAAGCCCTGTATGTGTGTGTGTGTATATATATATATTAGACAGTTAAAGTCAGAATATTAAACCCCCTGGTGAGGAGGAGGAAGAGTCTGCTCAGTTTTAATTTTTCTAGGAACTGCAGCACGTTAAAAAAAAAAAAAAAAAAAAAAAAGCTTCCCGTTCATGCAGACTTTAAATGAGGAGATTTTCTTGTATCATTAAAGACTTTCCTTGATGTGTGTGTTTGTGTGTGTCAGATCTGCATCAGGGGTCCCAGTGTGTTTCGGGGTTATCTGAAGGATGAGGAGAGGACAGCAGAGGCTCTGGACACTGAAGGGTGGCTTCACACTGGAGACGTGGGACAATGGCTGCCTGTGAGACTTTAAACAACTTTCACAACACTGACATTCTGAAATTGAATGCACAATCAAGAAAATCCCCACTATTTGCGAAAGGTTGCAGTTTGTCTTCATTCATTCATTTCCTTTCGGCTTAGTTCCTTATTTATCAGGGTTCACCACAGCGGAATGAACCGACAACTATTTCAGCAAATGTTTTACGCAGCGGATGCCCTTCCAGCCACAACACAGTACAGGAAAACACATACACTCTCATTCACACACACACACACACACACACACACACACACACACACACACACACACACACACACACACACACACACACACACACACACACACACACACACACACACACACACACACACACACACACACACACACACACACACACACACACACACACACACACACACACACATATACACTATGGCCAATTGAGTTCATCCAATTCCCCTATAGTGCATGTGTTTGGATTGTGGGGGAAGCCGGAGCACCCTGGGAAAAACCCACGCCAACACGGGGAGAACATGCAAACTCCACACAGAAATGACAACTGACCCAGCCGGGGCTCGAACCAGCGACCTTCTTGCTGTGAGGTGACAGTGCTAACCACTGTGCTGCCACAATTTTGTCTTATTTTATCCTATTTTTCTTGCAAAAAATCAGAATGCACACACAATCACTGCTGCATGTTTAGGAGAGATATAAACATGATCAAATAACGGTAGAAGCACAATATAGCGGAAGTCTTGAGTCCTGAAAATCACATAAGAATTGATGCCAGTGTTGATCAGTTTGAAAATGCCACCAGATTATTATTAGCTGCTTATTAGAATCCTAATTTTCATTTAGTGATGCATTATAGTCTCTGAAACAATGAAACATAAAATTACCAAAATATATATATAGCCATAAAAAAAAATAAATAAATATATATATATATATATATATGTATATACATTTGTACATATATAAATATGTATTATATATTATATATAATGCATAATTATCCTTCTTATTATTTTTATTATTTTTGTTTCATTGTTACAATGAT